GCCAGTTATAGACTTCTAATAAGGAAATGGCAGTTTGATAGATGATTTATAAAATATGTATGTTTATATATTATTATGGGTTAACTGGGGATGAGAGAACTTACCTGAAAACAGAAAAAAGCTACGTAACCTTGTAAAAGTAGTCTGAGGGGAAAAGACCTGTTACTACGGTCACCAAGTCAGACTGCCCCTATACAGTCCATTTTTTTTGGTGACAATTGGGCCAGCTAAGTTTCAGGCCTATGTATTTTAGGGAAAATAATTTGCTTATACTGAAAGGAGTTATGGGAACAAGTGACTATAGAAAAGGGATAAAAATGGGAGGATTCAACAAAAATTGATGAAATCACCCAGGGAAAAAAAAGCATCATTTAAAAGAAATCATCAGATTTTCTGGAATATGCAGATGTGATATAAGAATCGGTTAAGTATCTTTCATTTCAATGGTACCTTAATGGTTACAAAGGATTTTATATATTTTAAACTTGACGTATATCAGCTTAAAAGCATGGTTGATTCTAGCTTTGTTGATCAAATCTTTCTGGACATCATAATTCTATGGCACTCCAAATATAGCCAAGCTTTAAAACATTTGTATCACTCAATTTCATCTGAACAATATTGCAGTTACCAACCCACTGTTTACACAATATTGTTTTACCTAGAAATTTTCTCCTGCAAATATGGTTAACAGATTATTCTAATTTTCATTTGTATAAACCTTGTAAAAATTTTAGAATCGATCAGCTGAAAATCCTGGATTTTTTTCTAATGTTATCAATTCACCTGAATAAGATGCTGATGAGACCTGAATTCCTCACCAACAGTCTTGTAACCAAAGTCAGGTTTATAAATATGAAACAACTAATAGCTCAAAGTATGCATGAATTTTAGTACATATAGGTCAAGAACCTTCCAAATCTGAGATGGTTTTTGTAGTGGTTAAATTGCAGCCAGATTATCTAAGCTGTCCACCAAAACTCGACCCTAAACAGGAAGAGGACCTGCAGAGAAAACAGGAATAAGTTCTTCTGACTTTCACTAGTGATGGGATACCAGCTTCCTCTCTGCCTGCTGAAAATCTTCCAGTATCTCCTGTGGATTCGTTCACTTTAGCTACATAAATAGCTAGAGGAGACAGAGGAATGAGAAAAGACTCGTTTGAAAAAACCACGCAAACAAAACAAAACATAAACCCAAAAAAGCCTCACAAAATCAGTTATGATCTTAACAGCTTTGCTGGTGATTTTTCTTTATGTGAATGGTACACACTGCAACCCGGCCAGCTGGTTCATGTACAGCACAGATGACTTGCTCAGACAGCATTTCAGCAAGTTTCGCCCCTCCTGGTGCAGGAGATGAGAACAAACCTTCCTTCACAGCCTTCCTGCACCAGATGCATTTGAAAAACTCCTCATATTAGCTTAGGGCTGGTTTTAACTAGGGTATAAAACCATTTCCAGAATATATGCACACACTGCAAGTAGTGTGCATGTTCTCCAGGCTCTGGTAATTCCTCTCTGTGAAACGGCTTTTGGGTGCCCTTTGTCCACTTGCCTACCCTCAAAGATTTTCAATGACTTTGCTTCTTCTCTGGTTTTTTCCAGCTTCTCCAGTATCTCCTGGGTTTTTTGACTGATTTCTTCTTTTCTTATGCATTACCAACATTGAGGGATTTTACTAGCAGTGACTAACATAAGATTTAAACTTTAGCAGATACCACCTACTGCTGAATTATAAAAAGCAAAGGTATATAGAACAGCAAGAATTCTCTGGCAAAGTTGCAAGCAAATACACAGCCTGCACAGTAAAGTTCAATTATTTTCCACAGAAAGAAAAATGGAAAGGCTTAAAAGTGCTGGGCAATACAAAATCTACATCATACGCACAACAGAATTGCATATGATTTCCTAAGGAAACAGTTAAAATGTTTTCAGACTTATCCATTTATATAATACAACACATCAACATGCAAACTGCATAAGTGCCTTTATTCTAAGTGTTTCTGAAAGAAATTTATCTTTTTGATTTTTTCCTAAATGTAGCACGCATTGCTAAAAAGAAACCAAGGGGCAAATCACCTCCTCCCCGCAAATAGTCAGTGAGCTTAGATTTACACAAGAAAAAAATTACTAGCTGTTTTGTAAAGTTGTTTGGGAATGCACCCCATACAAGAGGATCAAGGCCATCCTACTTTTTCCCCCCTCACACCATATGCTTTCTAATAATTCCAAAGAATGAAAACGAGCTATTTAAGTGACTAATATTTCTAACTTACTTCAGTCATCTCTTTTCTTTCCTAGAGTTCCTGACAAAGGGACAGTGAAAATTCTTAGGAACAGGACCTCTATTAAGGTAGGAATTAAGTGTCTTTACCAATCTTTTCTAGATCAGGGTAAAAAGCTCAAAACCCAAAAACCCCTAACCCAAAACCAGAAATAGAAGTCCATTCTGTCAAAGGATGGAGTCCCAGAGACCACATAGCAGCAACAGTATGGTCTCCAGACTCTCACAGCCCTGTTCGTACAGCAACATCTTGTCTCACATCTTAAGCGTCATCACAATGACAGAATTTGCAAAGTAATGTTATTTTCCACACCACGGTAATTTTATGATGCTCTCATTCTTTGTCTCTTACAGTTATGAATTTTTCTCTAGTAACCAATAACAGAGGAGGAAGAAGTTTATTATTCAAGGAGAATGAACGTGATGTAGCCTAAGTGTTCATTTTTGTTTCTTTTCAATGGAGATGATATGGAAAAAAAGATGTCCATTGAAATACATGAATACATGTAAAGATGCACTTCTCTCTCTGCAGATAACAGTGATGCTAAGTACTAATTTGGTCTCTGAAATGCTATAAGAGTCACAAAAATGTCTGCCTGTATCACCTCGAGTCTTTGATTCATGGCTCAAGAAGTGCAGGTAAATAATCATTGCCCCAGATTCCCTAAATTTTCCTGAAATTCACTCATGATTTGTTTGAGGAAAGAGCTAAACAATACTAAATGAATTCAGATGTTTATTCCTTCTCTTTAAATAGCTTTTCAGCATTTTAAAATCAGAAACTGACATTCATGAAAAAGATGTATTTAAGACAAGACCATGTACTGGTCTTAAAACCAAAGAGTTTACTGCTCTCCGGAGTAAGGTTTCTTTTACTAGTATTTCTTCCCACTTTAATTGAATTAAACAACAAAAAAAAAGTAACCAAAATTATGAAGACCACCAGCGCTGCGAAAAAAAGAAAATGTCTCCCAGGGTTTTCAGTTCTCTCCCCTCAGTGTTCTGGAGTCCAGATGTGGAAAGCCCAGTGGAGCTGAAAACATTTTTGGAGGGAGGAGAGAAAGTTTTGATGCTACTGCTGTAGCCTTATTTTATCCAAACCAGACAATTACCTTTCTTCATGAAGATTAAAAAACTAAACAACAACAAAACCAAACACCACCTTTTATATATTATTACTAAACATTATTTTTAAGTGAGCCTGCTAAAGAAAAATAAACGCTCTGCATCTTCTTAGCACTTACAAGCAAAGAAGGCCTTACAAGGCCGCCTTCTTAACTCAGAGCAGAGCATATAATGTATATTTCTTTGAAAATCCTGTTTGTCAGGTGTGTAAATACACTTTTAAAATATATTTTTTTTTCCTGTTCACATATTGAGCAAACACATATTGATTTGCTCCAGCGATACCAGGTCACAGGCTATGGAGGAACGTTCCTGTATCTTACGCAGCTACATCTGGAATATGGTGTTCGGCTAAGTGATGACAAGGGTGGTCAGTGAGGTGATGATAAAAGTCTATAAATAGCTTAAGAGGGTGAACTCCAAAAAGGAAGAAGCATTGTTTTAAGGTGGTCTGAACAAGCTTGACTGGTAGAAACAAAAAGATGTCCTGACACCGAGAGCCAGGCATAAGCTGTTGAATAGGAGCTCGTACGTAGTACAAACGCCAGCAGTGCAGTCTGTCTGTGCTTGGCCTTGCATACACCACCGGCGTATAATGAATTTACTATTCCAGAATAATTATTCTGGTGAATTTCCAAATGTAGTTAAGCCCTTCGACTGCTAAATTAGGCCCTAAGTTCGACAGTCCACCAACAGGAACCACACGTTCAGGGTATTCAGAGCTGCACTAGACAAAGCCCTGGAAACATGGAAGAGGAAATAAACCTGCCCAGAGAGGGGGACGGACACAAACCCTGACAAATCTGTCATACCTCTACTTTCTGTGGTTCTAGGAAAACATGCATGTAGGATTTGGGAAAGGTCTTTTTAATACGGGTTAATTGGAGAAGTATGTCACACATGACTGAGTATCGTTTCGAATTACTGCTCACGCTGGCATAACTAAATCAGGCAAACGACAGAACACCAAAATAGGGAATAGTCAATCTTCTTCCCTCCTATTTAATCTTTGTAGTTTCATTATTCTCAAAATGACCAAATATCAGCAATTATAGATTTTATGGAATTTGTCGCTTCTTTCAAAATATTATTATGACCACATCATAATGTTCCCCAGAGATCCAATAGTTCTGTAAAATCTATATTCTCTTGTCACTTGAATTATTAGTCTAGGCTTTGGAACTGCTGGATTCATTTGTCTGGCTTATGTGATGCAAAAGCTCAAGTTAGATGATACTGATATAGCCCTTTCTGGGCTTAAAAAAAAATAAAAAACTAGAAAAGAGAAAATAAACACACTTTAGCCAGCCAGAATAGAGTTATTCCTGTAAAAATCGTTGTATGGTCTGTAACACTGTGTTACTCTAAAAGTTGAGTCCCTATCCCTGAAGCTGAAGAAAGTCACTTCAGTTTCTCTGTGCTGCCCAAGTTAACTACAAGCATTTCCTGACACACAGAACGCAGGCAGAAAAAGGAAAAACGTCGACTTGAGAAAAGCACAGCTTCCAATCCCCACCCACCAGCTTCAGTCAAAGGGATGACTTCAGTCCCTTACTTAACTAATCCTGCCACTGTAAAATCCTACAGTCATTCTTCCACACATAAAGGGAAAACGGACTCACTAGGAGGACCTAGACTCTTTCAGCTTGAACTGTTAACCAATGGTGGAAATGCAAGAATGCTGAAGTTGTGCCTTCGGAGCCAATAGAGTGGATTTGTGTGTCCCACATGACTGTGTTTCCCCTGTCTTTCACATGGGCAGTATTTAGTTCAATTCAGAACTGCAGATAGTATAGCGTGCAGAGCAGCAATGGGATGTCTGAGCACAAGTGGCTGACTTCCAGGCGTCTTCAGGAAGCACATTTGTACATTTCTCCTGAATTAAACTGGGATTCTGCACCCTTGACATCCTACTACCCTCCTTGTCGCTGCAGAAGGAGACACCGACCTGCACAGCACAACAAAACTGTGAGTACACGGTCTATTTATTTTTATTTTCACCCAGAAAAGCAAATCTCTTAAAATTGTCAAAATGCTACGTGCACTAAATCGATGGTTACTTTTTCTTATGAGATGAACAAGTATCTAAAGTGCTATTCAAATTCAGAAATATTTCTCACATGCTTCAATAAAAGAAAAAAGAAAAGAAAAAAAAAAGAGAGTTATCCTCCAGGGCAGTGCCTGCATGCACACTGCATGCCACACTGCTTCCTGACATAGCCAGCGTGCTGCTTTGTTCATAAAGAAAAACAAAGACAAAAAGCCCTACACATGTATGTTGTTCACTTTTATTTGTACTCTGTGTCTAATCAGGCCTGATCTGTCCCCAAGGGGAAAAAAATAAAGGCAAACTTTAACTCCGCCAGCAAGGGCAGCCCAGACTTTCCAGACATCTGACAGTTATTATAATTAGCTATGAAAGACAGCGAAGACACTTTGGGGCAAATAGCTCTTACGTTTGGAACAATGAAGTCGAGCAAGGTTCCCATCCCACCCCTTCCACGGGGGGAGGGGGAGAGGCAAGCCAACGGGGGAGTGTTAGAAAAGGGTTATGGCTGGACTGAAAAAACACAACTAGTGTAATATCTGGACTCGCTCAGCACGAGGAGAGGCTTTTTGATAAGCAACTTTACCTCTAGATTGCGGCTTGCATTCACTCGGATTCCTGGTGGGGTGGGAAAGGGTGTGGGGCTCTTCGCAGCATAACGTCAGAAGGTTGGGGTGGAGGGGACAGCGGGGACGAAGGGGGCAGAAAGAAGAGAATATCCATAGCAAGAGACGTTGCAATTGCTTCCCAGAGCTTTGCTGGCCAGATCTCCTTAAGCCCAAGTTGCTTTCTGGGCAAGATTTATGAGAGTTCTCAAACAGAAGCAACAGACAAAGCAGGGCTTTTTTTTTTTTTTTCCTTCTGCTTCTCCGGAAAAGAAATTGAACCCAAATGGATAACTGTATAACAAGAAGCACTGATTTAAGATCTTTCCCCCCCGCCTGCACGTTCCTTCCCACCCCCCCCTCCCCTAACAAAAGTTAGATTTTGAAAACTACGATCAGAAGGGAAAAAGCAAAGACAATAGAAATCTGACTTGGTCCTGGTTGGGCTGGATCTCTAATAAAGCATGAAGTGAAAACAGTTTCTAAAGTGAAAGATGAGCAGACTTCTTTTAAAAAAAAATTAAGTGCAATAAGGAGAAATTGTTGAAAGACTCCAGACGCTACTAATTATGGCTTAAATAAATCTTCCTGGACAGATGTTTGCTTGCTCCCACTGCGGGGAAAGGAACGTTAAAAGAAGCATTTTTTAAAAGAGGATTTGACATGAATTTTTTACATATGATTTTTTTTTTTTTAAATACACCATTTTATTCTTTGTCTGCCCTCCTGTTATCTCCCCCTCCCCCAACCGCCGCCCACTGTGAGCTGAGACACCTGAAGGCTAGACATAATGATCAACAGAGCACTGCGCTCGCCTGTCTGGATTCCAGCCAGATTTTTTTTTCCCCTCCACAATCAAGAAGCCTGCACGCAATGCACGGCAAGCCCCTTGCTCTGCTATGTGCAGATCAGACAGAAGTCTGAACCGTGCTGCAGAAAGATTAAAGACAAACACGAGCCTTTCCTCCTTATGTTGGCCAGGCTCAGTTTCAGCTTCATTGTGATTTGCAAAAAATACAAAATAAGAAACTTTGTAAACGTATACGTGCGTTATTGTACAAAACACACGCATGTGCGCACACTTTCCGACCCAGTGTAACTAGGGGCATCCGCTGTTTCCCAATTTACAGTGGTTTCTACTCGAGCTTTACAGTCAATGCAGTATTTTATGTTAAGTTCATGCATCACTTACATAATTGCCATGTAGCTCTCATACTACGCAAAGATTTTGTATACGTACACAATATACTACATAAAGGCAAATAGCTAGTGTACAGACACCTATGAAAGGCAGTCAGACTGAAATACTTGAACATATTTCGGTTTGGAGAGATTAGCAAGATCTCCTAGACAGTTTTGTGGCAGTTTTAAACAAGGCAGCAGCGAAACGCTCTGCGAGTCGGTTATCTTCAGACCGAAGAAGGGGAGCGTGGCAGGGGACTATTTTAGTTAGCTGGCCTTGCAACCCCCGGCCTTCCTGTTGCCACAGCCCAGAGAAACGCCGACTGGCCCAGTGTCATCGTGCCAGAAAGTTGGTCTTTGGGAATGCAGTACTCCCCAAAATAGTTGCTCTCCATTTGGTGTGGCTATGGGTGGGGTTAGCAGAGACACCCAGGGAAAAAGGAGATTCAAAGCATTTATTCTATTTAATTTTTGAGTGTATGCCGTGCAGACCTATTTTCTAAAAGTTCTTTGGAATTGCATTGTCTTCTGGTACAAATTATGGTATGATACACGTGGTGATCAATTTTTGCTTTTCAATACGGAATTTGTGTGAAAAAGACTTAAAAGAAAATACTTTTTTATACACACACGTACACTGCTCTTAATTTACTCCCTGAAGAGGCTTAAACTATATTTTAGTCACAAAAACAGGTATCTTAACAGAAAGATAGGAATTTTTTTCTTTTTTCTTTTTTCTATATTGCTAATAAACACTATTAAAAAAAGGAACCCAGAATAGGTATCCCATAAATTTAGTCTTAAAAAAACCCTTCCTTTCCAAATAGCAGCAGAGACATACAAACAAAAGGTTGCATGTAGTGGCAACAATATCCACAGGCAAAGTAAAGACTCCAGGAAAGAGATTTCAGAGAAATGAAGAGAATTTATTGAGAGCTGTGGTCAAATTTGGTTTGTTTGGTTTTTTTTTTAAACAAGGGATTTAACACTTTTCTGAAGGAATGTTTTATATACCATGTATGACATATACGAGCTAACTCAACACAATGGTCATATATGGGAACCATATACTTGTAAATTACATGTATATGTATATACACAAGTTCACTAGTATAAAGTGCAATTTCCTTTCTACTTTTCCTGGCATATTATGCTTGAAAAATAAAATTTGTTACTTATGTTTCACAAATGTATTTCAAAATAACGCCTGCAGCTACATTTTGAAGTGCTGACTTTTATTTTCTTAAGGTAATGACAATAAGCAATCATATTTTTATCCATTTCCTAAAGACTGAAATCCTACACAAATCAATTCCTCTAAACTTCAGAAGTGATTTACACACTACCTTGTATTAGAAGGGATATTTCAACTGGCAATTTATGTATTGTTTGTCCATGCAAAAGTAATGACTAATCACACAGGAGTTAAGCATTAAACCTGAGCATATGAATACAGGGCCCTCGCCTCCATGTTTAGTTCAACACTCTCCCTGTCTCCCAGTAAGGTCTCTTGGTTTTTGTGAATGCTGGGTGTTCAGCAGCTCTGACTAAAGTAGGTAGGAGATACAAATGCCCAGTGTTTTCGCAAATATGGTATTATCCACCAGCTGCTCTTGTCCAGGCACCTGAAATTTGGAGCTATGTGTTTTAGCTTTTTATGCAAAGGGTTTATTTACCTAAATGTAAAAATTCTGACCTGTGTTTTTTTGCTGACTTCTTTAAACTTTAAATAGTTGATGTTGAAACAAAGCAATCATGGAAGCTCATGCATATTTATGACTCCATTCCTTAAAAATTTGATGTCTGTTACAGCTCATCTCTTAGCCTGTGGCCTCCAACTGGTTGTGCAAACTCCATGGTGCTACTCGCGCAAACTTCAAGTTTTAATTTCTTTTTTTAAGGTCTCCTCTCCCCTCTTCCCCCCATGCTTTCTCTGTTGCATCTGCTTGTTTGAGCCTTTTCTAGTTCAAGCAGAAGTGCAAGTTTTAGTCGTAAGAATAAAGTGCTCAGCATTACTTCCAAAACTTTCAAAAGATTGGTTGTTTCACTCATACCTTTACGCAGCAGAAGTAACCTGAGAGCCTACCAGAAACATAGGCAGTCTCAATAAGGTAATGGGGTCAAACGAGCTCATGCCTTACAGATAGGAAGAGAACTGCGCATTGCATTTTTATAGATAAAGAGCACAGAGTGTTTTAATGTAAACAGATTTCTGTTTAATATTTTGGCAAACTGTTGCAAGGACCAAACTACGCTGAGCCAAAATGACTTTCGGCATGGTACAGTTAGACCAGATGGCCACGTGTTCTTTTCTTATTTAGATGAGACTTTTCCTTTCAATAACATCTTTCTTCCTGACCTGCTTAAAAATTCCAGCGAATGAAATCAGCACAGGATTTTCAATTCTAATTGACCATGTGCAGAGGAAAGGCCAGTAGAGAAATCAGTAGGGCCATTGTAAGGCACACTGCATCAATCTCCCCTTTGTCCTGAGTCTTTTCTAGCATGAGCTAAAACAATTAAGAATATTTAATTTATATTATTTGTACAGCAGCAAATCTAGTCGCGTTCAGGCAAAAATCATTGCAAGTTCCTCTTTTACAAACGCGTGCAACAAGGAATACGTATGTCTATCACACACCAGACAAACAGGTACTCAGCATCATTTAATTGCCAAATATTCAAGAAAAATTAAAACCCTCAAGCAGAGAGTGAACAAAAAAAAAGGAAAGGTGTGGGTGAATTAAAGCATGAACTGCTTTGCGCTTTCTAATGAAGTCAGAAGACGTGAAGAATATGGTACTTCTCACATTAAAAAAACATTTTGAAAATATCAGAAAAATATTATTTTCCACTGTCCAAAATGCTCACCCTCAAAACATCTATAATCTTCAATTGCTATTAATTTGCCTATGTAGATTTTACAAATACATACCCCACCCACGCTATGCGGGTTGGTGATCACGGTCTCACTTGTGTCTGTGTGATCTACATGCAAAGTACAGATTGTAAATACTATATATATATATATCACACACAAACATTATCTACAGAAATATGCACACAGGTGACATCACTACAGTCTTACCTACTATTTTATTTGGATTTAGTGAGATATCTGTGGAGTAATATAA